GGATACTATTACCAAGTTCATTCATCGTTGGTTTCAAAAATGTTTGCAGATATTATAAATGCAAGCTAGTTGAATAAGCCAAGAACTCTTTGTAAACCCTCCATTAAATTCAACTATGTATTCTACTGATTTGCTCTTGAAAAGATGATACCTATCTTGATTCAGATATTCTTTATCCTGCTCAATATTAACTTGTCACCTTCCATTAAAAGCAATAACTCTGAAAAGCTCATTTAGAATTTCTTTATTTCGGCATACTCTTGAGGGTTCTCTAGACTTGAACTGTATCAATTCAAGATTATTCTGACCATTTTAGCCTTTAATTTTGTGTTGTTTTAACCTCACATCATCAGCACACTTAATTGGATTTGAAAGCGTATCGTGAGAATCGTTTCGACGCTTTACCATTCAACTATATAATCACTGGTGACAGTGTGCCACAGGACAGACGTGATGTTGAGGGCAAGCCAGGCCTCCCCAAATCTCATTTACAGTAGGATTGTCGATGAAGCAAACATGAATCTGCCATTTTTGTCTACGGTCTTACTTATTTCTGATATCAGTAGACCTTGAGATTATCATTAATTCTTTAATAATGATCAATTTCTTACCTCGAAAACCAAATCAACTCTGATCCAATGGCACTCATGACTTTATGCCCTAGTAGTAATGTTTCGCCGCGATGCTTATTATCTAGCCGAGGTTAAAACGGTCCACCCTACATGAGCAGGGTGAAATCCAATTACATTGCGGGGCCTATTTCTATCAGTATGGAAACATTTCCACTATCAATTTTTAAATCACCTTACTTCACCTAGAATGGCAATGTTCTTTTTGAATAATTTCGAATATATATAAATTGAAGATTAGTTTGATATTTTGTCTTCCTCAACGCTAATGGTTTAAGCAGACCTACTACTGACCTGGATGCATATAAACGGCCAGGTGACTGGCTGTACAAAGCCTTCACATAAAACTTCTTCTCAGTAATTTGACAGAATTACAATGCCAATCTCTTTTCAGCCTGCAAAATTATGCATATGTGTGAAGTATCATATTGATGACAGATAAATTCGTTTATGAGCTCATTTCCGCAAAAATATTGTGATATACTGAAAATGTGGAATTTGAACAGAGCGTAAGCGTTTGCCTTTTACTTTTCAGATTCTAACTTACACATGATGACTTTTGTACATGCCGAGGTCTGTCGTGATGCGTTCAGCGTTGCTGAGACTGAAACGATCCGGCGCTACACCAATACTTATCTGCGGGGTCTTGGTGTCTGCCGTCTGCCTATCCGTCTAGACAAGTTTGGGGAACGCCCTATAACCACATCTTGTGTGATAACTAACATGACTCCTGTCATTGATTGCCTTCTCAATAAGGAAAACCTTACTGGGGTATTAGGCTCTGAAGGCAGCCGCTGCACTCGTGGATCGGCGGGGGATCTTGAGATGTCTCAGATATCTAGCTCAAATATCACTACTTTTCTCACAGAAAATGTGGCTTTTATAAGGGTAATGCTAAAATGCGCGGCTTGTTGAAGAGTGGTTGAATGCTGGATAGTCAGTACTTATGATCTCGAGTATGGCTTATCTGTTACAAACACATTTTTTACACATGCTAGGCATATCTCACCATTATTCCTCTATAAATCCATTATTTTGATACGTTCTTTTGTTTATATATGCATAATATTGCTTAATACTAGTACAATGTCATCTTATTCATTTGAAAGCACTTATCGAAAATTCAAAAAATACTACATATATTGATTTTTTTTCTTTTTAATACATTCTCCGGTAATTTAGAATTTATTTAGAATACGTAAACTTAGAGAAACCCGGTTAAGCTCGTTTTTACTCTTTATTGCCTTTGGTGCATTAGTTGATCCCGGAGGAGTGTGATGGGAAGGATGGCTCCGATGCTGGCTATTCAGTAAACTTGGCACTCACACCGCTTGCTGTGCATGTCTATTGGCAAGTATGTTTCTCATCATCTTATTTCTCCCCTACTCTTTGTGCTATAACTTTCCTTTTGTCTCGTAATTTTATTATGATTTCTATTATCCTAAGTATATGTGCTATAATGTTCCTCTTATTTTGTCCTAGTTGTACTCCCCTAACTTTGTGCCTGTTGGCTAGACGATTGAAACCTTAGGATTACTGAATTCAATAGCCTAATAAACATATTATCATAAGTCGAAATGAGTCGCTAATTAATCCTATGTTAAGGACCTGCATTCATTATTGTCGAAATTCGTAAGTTTACTTTTCCAGAAGACATTGACTTATTTCCCTTGGTCTACTTTTGCTTACCTTTACCGGATGTTCAAATTGTCGGAGTCCCCAAGATTATCTTTTTTGTTCTAGGAAAAATCGTGCCGAGCATTATATTTTATGATAAATATGTGAAAAGTTAGGGTTCGAAGACTCTTGGCCTCTAATTATTTAGGTCACCTCCATTTCTGATAAAGGCTATGCTGAATAGATTTGAAGGGCGATCCCACCTACTTTTGAGAGTTTAGCTAGGTCCACTTAGTGACACATCTAATGATTTGCTTTGAGATCCTATGCTTTTCCTACATGGTGTATAAAAGTGAAATGGCTGCCGATGACACGAGAGGTGGCTGCAAATGAAGCACGAAATAGATGCATTTGTGACCAAACGTCTGCATCCACCCCTAAAACAAGGTATGAAGAACAAGATAATGTGGCCTTTTGTGTGGTCACAGTCTCCTTTCGTTATATACAAGTTGTTTGACCTGGTTTTCGCAACTTGGTCATATTGGTATAAAGACCATTATATGCATGATCATTTCCAAAGTCGGACCGTGGACGTGGTGCATTCCCAGACGTTTCGCCGGCATCGTGAGTGAATTTCGCCATTCGTAGCACCATATTACAACTCGCCAAAGAGACAAGTGAAGCCCATCCTTTGAATAAACGTGTGCTTAACAGTTGTGGTATCTCCCCTTCTGCCCTGGGCTATTCACATTTTCTATATCCTATCATGCCTTCCCTGCCACAATTTTTACCATGCTTATTTTTAATGTAGTGTTGTA